ATGAGATAGCTATCTCATAATTATGAGATACTATCTCATAATTATGAGATAGCTAAGTCATAATTATGAGATACAAATTTTATTTATTTTTTTATCAGGGTGGCGGAAATGGGCTTCCATAAACTACAGCAGTGCAGCAACAACAAAAAATAAACAAAAAATAAAAAAAACCTCAACTAGTCAATGAGTTCAACTAAGATATTGACAAGTTAATTAGAAAGGGCAAAAAAGACCAATTACCCATGTGAAAATTTTGGGTGTTACGAGCCAAATGCTTAAAATTAGTCACACAAGTTAAACTGAAAATATTTTGGGCCTTAATAATTAACAGTGATGATTTTAGACACTAGTTAATTAGGTAAAGCTATTTTGGCCTTAGTAATAAACCACTGCTAGTTTAAATGTCAAGAAGCCAGAGTTTTGGTGTGTACTAGTCATCTGCTAGTTTGGTGTTTGAACCTTTAGGTTGCACTAGTCAACTAGCAGGCAGAATTTGTGTTGAAATGTGTGTGTGTGTATTATTATATCATATATGATTACGTAAACCATATTTTATAGCCCTGTCCTTGTGATACTTCCAGTTTAACATTTTCAGAATAAAAGCATTTCTTTGATCGAGTTTGTATTTTTATTAATACCATTTGTAGTTAGTCAAACAACAAATATCATACACTTACGATATTTTATAGCCAATTTTTGTATTCGGTATTTAAAAATTGTTAAATTTCATCCAGCATAATAGCTAATCCACTAAATGAGAAGCTAGTTTTGCTATTCGTGGTTTAGCAGAACTGTGCTCACTAACAGCAGCAATGTATTACCATCAGTCCCAGTAACTGTAGAGAAATAACTCAAATGTTTATTTAGAAATGTAATAATGTTAAAGTGTGAGGTAGCTTAAAACTAAAACATTTTTAAAATCACCTAAAATGCATCACCTTGTAAGAAATTAGACTCAAGTAAGATTTCTTTTGTTTTTATTTGCACTTAAATCATGTAATAACAAGCTGCAAGGAAAAAAGGAGAGGAATTCAATGTGACARCACATTGTTCAGCACCAAAGTACATGAGAGAATCACTGGAGTATTGTAAAAACAAGCAAAGAAACTGGTAAAAAAAAAAAAWGAGTTGTGGGGATTCTAACACCGAACAAAAGCAGAACAAAATCAGAGCTTTGCTTAGAAACAACCCTGTTTCTCTGTTAACAAAGTATCTCATGAACCAGTAGTCAGATATTAGTGAAACCTTCAGAAAGTAAACACTGGCTGTACATCTATAACTGATTAACTTTTGAAGTCAATCCAGCTAATCAACATTATTCGACACAAAATGCTAAAAAAAAATTAATGTAGTGGTTTCTGATTCATTCACAGCACATACTTTGAGTGAATTCTTGCAATATCAACATCTGAACAGTTGACATTATCAATGTTTGACCGAAAAGGCTGGGGTGACGTTACAACATAAGATGATCTTTGKCTAAAACCTAAAACATGAAAAACTAAGACTATTTTAAAGGCAAATCGTACAAACTCATAATGAGAAAGAGAAAAAAAAAATACATTTAAGGAATAACAGGAAAATTAAAAAATGTACAAGAACCTTTCTATTCTTGTTGAACAAACTCAACAAACCTGGCATTAATGTCAGAAATTTACCGTCCAGCCCTTCTCCCACATGTGCTAACAGTGATATGCTACTAATTTTTTTGTTTTGTTTTTACAAAAAAAAAAAAGAGAGAGAGAGAGAAAATGACTGATCAATGTACAGCATATGTGAGGGTGCTGCTGCGCTCAGCTGTGGAAATAAATCAGAGCTACACATTTTGCTTTTGGAGAGAAGTATGATCACAAAAATGTTGTGCAACACAATCAGTAGTTGTGCTTGATCATTTCAGAGGTTCATACATATTCACTGGGCCTAAAAGAAGCCCATCTGTGTAAACACAATCTTAAATGCAAACCAGATAACAATGGAACGTCATTCTTCTACATATGTCAATAAGCTAATAAGCTCAATCATCAAATTAAATCAACACAAACAATGCTATTTACAAACAAAACAATAGTTAGCAACAATTCCTTCAATACCTAACATATGTCAATGTCTTTGTGATAAGTAAGTGTATTTCATTCACCATTGTTTGCAGTAACAGAACATGTTGTGGCATTAAATTATGTAAAAGGCATCTAATTAGTACACGATACAAGTGCAAAATTKTATTGTATAGTGAGGTAACACAACTGCATTGTAAAACCATGACTCACTTCATATTCCTAACAAGATTCAAAGTAAATCAATTGCAGCTAACATTTTCTGCAGCTCATATTTTAATTAACTTTTGACTGAATTCTCGTTGCTATTACCATATAAGGAGTGTTTCCCAGGTCATTCTGCAAAACTGCAGTTAAAAAAAAAAAACATGATCTAAGATTCCAGACAGAAAAACAAGTCTTGCTTGGTCACATGTTTCCCCAAGTCTTCTTTCTTCTGCGTCAGATGACTGCTTAGTTACCAGATTCCGCTAGATCTGCCTCCAGGAGGGGCCAGGATTCTGGCTGAGGATCTCTTTGGAACGTTGTCATCAATCTGAACACCTGCAGCCGCAGGGAACAAGATCATGTGGGGTTAGCAACCAAAGACAACAAAGTGGAGTTTACATGATTCTAGCTCATTATTTATTTATTTATTTTTTGGTAAATTGTGTGTCAGTATTAGCAGTTAGCTACTCCTAACCTTAGTTTTTAGCTAATGTTTTGCTCCTTTTAGCCAGCATTCGGCTGCTTTTACCTTTAACAATTTAGTTTAACCTCTTCAACAATCTTCATTAAAGTTATTCAGAACTCGGCAGTCACACTGCATTTTTACAGAAAATGTCATTTTCACATTAATGAACAGAGTGCCCCTGTGTGTAATTTAATCCAAGTGTAAATCCTGTTGTTCTGTGAAGGCCTCAGTGGTTTGTTACATCATACAGCGTTTGCAATCAAAACAGCATGGTGAAGACCAAGGAACAGCAGACAGATTGGGAATCAAGTTTTTGAGAAGTTTAAAGCAGGGTTAGGTTTTAAAACTGAACATCTCACAGAGCTCTGCTCAATCCATCATCTACGAATGAAAAATAAAAATGGAAAATGGCTCATTTTGAAATCTAGACACCTAAAACTATGAGCAGAATCTGTGGCAAGACTTGAAAGTTGCTATCTAGCTAATCTTTTTGGACTTTCAGCTAGTTTTCGCTACCTGAAGTAGCATTTTTATATTATTACTATTATTATTATTATTATTATTATTGTTATTGTTGTTGTTTACCTAATTTTAGACTTTTAGCTACACTTTTGCTCATTTTAGCATTTACCTACATTGTTACAAATTGTAGCTACTCTTTTGCAAATTTTAGCATTTTTGAACTCTGTAAACTTTGGAAATAATCACTGTTTGTGCCCTCTCATTTGGAAAAAAATCTAACCAGTTCCATATATTTGAGGTGTTTTTTTTAAAATTTAGTTCAATTCAGTTTATTTATAAGGCAACGCGACCACAAAGTCATAGGCCACGTAAAATCACAGAGGGGGCTCAGCTGATGCTGAGAAGCATGCACATAGATCGACAATGTTCTGCAGAGTCAATAGCTACAGAACTCTTAACTTCACATGGCCTTCAGCTCAAGAACAGTACAGAGAGAGCTACATGGAATGGGTTTTCATCTGCATCCAAGCCTTACATCAAGTGCAATGCAAAGCGTCTGATGCAGTGGTGTAAAGTATATGCTGCCACTGAATAACCACTAACCAGTGGTTATTCCGTATGTTGTGGGTGTTTCGGAGAAACTGAGACGTTTATTTTCTAAACATGATGTCCCAGTGGCTTTCAAACCCCAAAACACATTGCGGCAAAGGCTGGTTCACCCCAAAGATCTGGTGCCCTGGCACAAACAGAGCAATGTTGTATATGCTGTTAAGTGCCAGGAGGACTGCGACCAGTTATACATCGGGGAAACAAAGCAGCCACTGTTCAAAAGAATGTCCCAACACAGACGAGCTACATCTAATGGCCAGAACTCTGCAGTTTTCACTCATTTACAGGCCAGCGGTCACTCTTTCAGAGATGAGGATGTTCTCATTCTTGATAGAGAGGAACGTTGGTTTGAGAGAGGAGTAAAAGAAGCCATTTTTGTGAAGAAAGACCGTCCATCATTAAACAGAGGTGGAGGCCTCCGTTTTCAGTTGTCCCCCTCCTACAGCGCGGCCATTGCCAGTATCACTCCACCCCCTGTTAACAATAAATGTTAATTAGGTGCCAACGATAGCCATGTGATGTGAGTATCAGTCACATGGAGGCAGGGCTTAAAAGCCTGAATTTTGCCTGAAACTCTCAGACTGAAGAAGTCTCTTGGAGAAGAGACGAAACGTTTCATTAAAGAAGAACCCGTCCAGAAGACCTATACAATTTTTTTCTTTTTGATTTTTTTTACCTGGATTACTGAGTTGCATCAGGATATGCTGCCACTGGACTCTTGAGCAGTGGAGATGAGTTCTTTGATGTGACAAATCACGCTTCTCTGTCTGGCAATCTGACGAATGAGTCTGAGTTTGGTGGTTGCCAGGAGAATGGGTGACAGTCAAGTGTAAAGTTTGGTGGAGTGTGGATTTTGGCTTGGAGTTGTTTTTCAGCAGTTGGGACTGGTCACTTAGTTCCAGTGAAAGGAACTCTTAATGTTTTAGCATACCATGACGTTTTGGACAACGCCATAGTTCCAAATTTGTAGGAACCGTTTGGGGACGTCCCTTCTTGTGCTAGCATGACTGCACACCAGTGCAAAAAGCTAGTTCCGTAAAAACATAGATGGGCGAGTTTGGTGTGGAAGAACTTGACTGGCCTGCAYAAAGTCCAAACCTCAACCTGATAGAACACCTTTGGAATGAATCAGAGCAGAGCCTGAGAGCCAGGGACTAATGTTGGACAAGACGTCCTGGCTTGGCGTCCTCGCCAAGCTTCTGTAAGAAATTCCCATAAACACACTCCTAAACCTTGCAGAAAGCCTTCCCAGAGGATTTGAAGCTGATAGAGCTGTAAAGAGTGGGCCAACATCACACTAAACCATACTGATTAAAGGATATGTGTGTGTGAAGAAAGACAAGAGAATACTTTTAGGCAACAGTGTGTGTCTCAAACTGAGACAGGTAGACCAAATGGTTAGAAATTGCCTTTCCTAAACTGTTCCTCTGTTAGTGAACACTGGAGGAGTTCCTAATCTACTAATTCTCACCAGACAAGCTGAAGCTGGACTCATGGAGGTCCCTTAAGCCCCCATGTCGTGTGCATGGACGTGTTGGGGTGTCCAGTTCTGGAGCTCCTAAGTCCCTCTTCCCTGAATTTACTACGGCAACAACTTCACCTGTGTAGGGCTCTCGTTCAACAGGTTTTACTGCCTGGCTCTGAGGAATAAAAACAAAGCATCACGATACATTAAAACATCAAAACATTAAAACTGTCTGTCTTTGAAATAGTTATGATTATAATAAACTGATTCAAAAAACAGAACAAAGTAAGAATATTTGTGTTTGGTGGATTATTTCTTTGTTGTAAGAATGCTTCTTGGCAATAAATCTTTTACATTTGAAAAGTCTGCTAATTTCCCTTTTAAATGGTGCCACATTTGTAAGGAACATGCATTTGTGGGATAAGCAGCAGAGCTGAGTATGTGGGTTGTGCACATACTTTTTGTGTTAAGTATATATGTTTATATGTCTTGTTCTTTGAAATCTAAGATACAGAAAACAAGACAATACAAATAAATTATTAGAGTTCTTCCAGTGTTTACCTGATCACTCTTTGTGTATATTTCTGTGTTCAGTTCTTCTCAGTTTGGATTTAGGTTTGTGTTTTGAATGTTTGGTTTGGTGTTCAGAGCCCCGTTTCAGAAAGCAGGATAAGTGGAAATCCTGAGTAAGTTCTGGCAATGGCGGATCTAGGATTTTTTTCAGTAAAGGGGCCATCAAGGGTCACAATTTTCATAGAGGGGCCAAGTCTTTGTTCAGCATCCGTTCACACAAATCACCAGTTTTGGTAACGTGATTACATTTAACCAGTCATACACTTCAAACACTTGAATGTAATGGGTTTTTTTAAATAGGGTACCATTTTAAAATAAGGCTCCCCTTATGGATGGCTTTTAAAGAGTTTATAGATAGGTTATTAATCTGTAAACACTTTATAAGTTAATAAGTTTTTATTATGCATTAATTAAGGTCAAAAAAGAATAAATACTGAGCCAAATCTGTTTGTGTATTAAACATTTCAGACTAGTTTACTACCTTGTAAGCACAATAATGATTAGGAAACATATTTTAAAATATAATARTGTACTGTATTACTGCATTATAAATATCCACACATATTAAAGGGATCCCTATTGTACAGTRTAAAACTGTACACTATTTTAGATTGGGTTGGATTATTTGGTRTGTTAACATGACATTTTTTTAGTTTTTTGATGCATCAACATTGTTGATACAGTTACATGTTTGAACAATAATTTCAAATATTGATTATCAACACTAAATTTTAAAAATGATTTTTCACATTAAAGACTAACTTTTGACATTTAGAAATGTTTATTTGTCATTAATAAATAGTGTACTCTTTTACACTTTATGATAAGTCTCCCTTTAACAGTTGTGAATATTTATAATGTAGTAATACAGAACAATATTAATATGTTAAAAGATGTTTTTCTTATCAATATTGTGATTACAATATATAGAAACCTAGTGAAAAAAGTACTTTTACTTATTCAAGTTCCTTGTGTCTACTTTCACTCTGGGTTCAACCACACTGATCATTGTGACACTACTGAACAACTGATCATCACAAGGTGACAAGGCAACATTGTTTATGCCTGTGTTTGTGTGTTCTTTGTTTGCCCATTTGTTAGTATAATATTTCACCAACCATTGCAGATTTTATTGAAAATCTCACAAAGTAATGACTGGAAACACTTCTACAACTTTTGGAATCAATCCAATTCAAGATGGCTGCCATAGCTTTGTAAGTAGGTTGCCAGACCTTTCTGGGCAGAGTTTGCAAGCATGGGTTTTCTCCATGTACACCAGCTTCCTCCCACAGACCAAATACATGTTTGTTAAGTGGCGACTCTAAATTGTTCCTAGGTATGAATGAGAGTGTGAATGGTTGTTTGTCACCAGTAACCACTGCAACCCGGAAAGAAGGAAGCGTATAAAATACAATGAAGGAATGGACGGTTGCCATGGCCTCTACATACTACTCTGAACTGCCAAAATCGCCTCTCTTTGTCGCAGTTTCATGACGAAAATTATGTCACCATGCTCTCATCGTCSACTCTGCCACCCCTTCTTGTCACAACCCACTAGCCGAACTTCTTACATTAGACATACACAAGAACTTTTTGTGTGATTGGTCAGAAGTTATTGGGAGTGTTTGTGCCAAAAGAGCTCGGATGCTGCATTTGGCTTCAACCATTTGCTTCAAAAAAAAAAAACTGACTTCCAGAAGGTGACTGTTGTAGGTTACCCAGAAGCAGACTTTTATAAAGATAGTCAAATGGTCAAAAACTCATGGATGGAGATAAAACTGACATTGTGCACGAAGAAATCTGTCTGATAATAACTGTGGAGCTTTAACAGAGACAGATTTGTGGACAAATAATATCGGGTGACAGGTTTTATTAATTTTTTTCTGCATTGCTGATTCCAGYGGGGAGAAACTTCACACAGTGACGTATACCGCAGGGGGAGGGGTTTCCCAGGAGCWTGGTGCGGTGCATCTCAGGAGCTATGAAAGGTGTGTGTGACAACAAACGCCATACAACCACGTGACTGAACATCGACTGTTCGGCTTCAGATGGAGTATGTGGAGGCCTTCAGTGACCAAAAATGGACATAAAAAACTATAACTTGTCAATACTGAACGTTGTCTGATATGGCAGTAGCTGGGAATCAATAAAAACATACTCTGAGTGTGACATCTTGTGATACTGCATATTTATATATAACATTATTCAAGTTTTGAACAGAACAGCTACAATATGTCTTTTCTCAAATTAAGATGATCTAAGTCAAAAAGTCTGGCATGAAAGGTGGTGGGTAGTATGCACTACTCTAAGAATTTGCTAGGTTTTTAATTTGGAATATTTTTTTATTACACTGTATTAATGTATGTGTGCTTAATGTGTATTTGATGTTAGTTTGATACCTTTTCCCTCTGGACCATCTTCTTGTAGAGATAATCTGGGAAAGTCCTTAACGGGAAAAAGTTCCCAGAACCCTCGGCACATGTAAACATGCCATTTTCATAGACCAGACGTCCACGGCTGATGGTAACCAAAGGCACACCATGACAACGGAGGCCTTCGTAAAGGTTTACATCCCCTCCCTGGAACTGGTTATCTACTGAAATCGTCCTGCAGGCAGAGATACAGAAGAGCTTGTTCAGTTTATGGTTGAGCGTTTCAGGAAAAAACACTCTTAAGTTATGATTTATCTTCAAATCTTCAATCCTCTACTCGCCTCACCCACCCTGGTTTCATTGGTCCCATCTAACACTAACCATATATTTTCTTAAAGTGGCAATATTATGTGTTTCTCAGGCATATATTTAAATTCTATTTCATAAAAGTAACTATGTCACCTTAAGTTGTTATTAAAATGTTGTTTATATATTTAAATAGAAAATAAACTTGACTTCTCATCATATCTATTTCTAAACGCCTTGAAATTGTCCTCTGTCTCTTTAAGAAACTCCTTCCATTTCTGTCCCACCCATTTCAGCACAGGCCGGGTGGGGGTGTGTGCTCTGTGATGAGGAAGCTGGCTTAGAGACACAGCCCAGAGGAGGAGTTGATCCCAAAGGCGGTTCTAGTCCCAACCGGTGGTTTTTGCTCCCCTGCCTGGCTGCCTCAGGACACTACAGGATTTCTCAAACATGYABSAATGAGTCAAAGCAAGAYTCTGGGCATGTTTTTGATGAGAGGATAACATTATAACATGATATGAAACTCAAGTTGATTTTACATGATATTGCCCCTTTAATCTGTTAAAATTAAACTGATGGCAGAAAGAAGCTGGTGATCAGATTTGTTCCTCATTTTTTCCAAGAGGCTGGTAGGTGTTTTGTTTGATAAAAAGCACTCTGATCGGAAAAGTACAGTTAAAATTAACTTGGCAAGTCCCTAACAAGTGCCAGTACAAAAACAAGTCAGCAATGATGATAGTGGTGATTCTTTGAATTTGCTCATTTGAACTCAACTTCACATTAAAAACCTTACTGCCTTTTCCAAGCTTAGCTGTAAAAAAAATCTCCATCAGTGTCAGAGACTGCAGAATAACAGCTGCAGTAAGACAAGCTGGTCGATAAATGTGCAGATTAGGTTTCATACTTGGATCCTTCAGGGTCCCAGACCACCACATCAGCATCTGCTCCTGGAATGATCCGGCCTTTCCGGGGGTAGAGGTTGTAGATCTTGGCTGCATTTGAGCTTGTGACCGCAACAAAGCGATTCTCATCTATTTTACCTCCAATCTTGGAATTACAACAAAGATGAAAATAAAATTATAAACACAGCTGAAAACTAGGTTGAAAAACAAACAAACAAACAAACAAATGCATACCACTCCTTTCTCCCAGATCACACTCATCCGGTCCTGAATACCAGGAAGGCCGCAGGGGATCTTTGTGAAATCATCCTTGCCCATGGCTTTCTGCTTGATGGTGAAAGGACGATGGTCTGACGCCACAACATTCAAAGTGTCACTGCAGAGACATTTAAGCAAATTTATTTCTGCATCAGTGACAAAGACTGACATCAATGTTATGAACTGCAGGCAGGTTAAAGGCTCCAAAAAACAAAGTATTTATTAACAACAAAAGGCTGACAGGGCAGCTAAAAAAAAAAACCTCCCTTGGCTTGATACAAAACTTGAGATACATGAACGACTGCACAGCACACTGATCTGACAGGGAAGTGAAGACAAGACAGAATATGAAGGTGAAACTAATGAGCACAAACGAGAAACACCTGGGGATCAGGTGTGAGTGGGCGGGGCTGGAGCAAAGGCAGACAGGAGGAAGAAAACAGAGGATAAGATAAAACAGAAAACTAGAATAAATCATAAGCGCAGACACTGTTCATAACAATCAAATATTATTTTTCCAAAAAGAAGCAATAATGTTTTTGCCTCTGTTGTGGGTGTATGTTTGCCTGCATTCTTGGCAAAAAATATCATGAACCAGCCTATGGATTTTTATAAAACTCTCATTATTGCATGTACCGTATTGCATGTAAACCCCAAAACACATTACGGCAAAGGCTGGTTCACCCCAAAGATCTGGTGCCCTGGCACAAACAGAGCAATGTTGTATATGCTGTTAAGTGCCAGGAGGACTGCGACCAGTTATACATCGGGGAAACAAAGCAACCACTGTTCAAAAGAATGTCCCAACACAGACGAGCTACATCTARTGGCCAGAACTCTGCAGTTTTCACTCATTTACAGGCCAGCGGTCACTCTTTCAGAGATGAGGATGTTCTCATTCTTGATAGAGAGGAACGTTGGTTTGAGAGAGGAGTAAAAGAAGCCATTTTTGTGAAGAAAGACCGTCCATCATTAAACAGAGGTGGGGGCCTCCGTTTTCAGTTGTCCTCCTCCTACAGCACTGCTATTGCCAGTATCACTCCACCTCCTGTTAACAATAGGTATTAATTAGGTGTCAACAATAGCCATGTGATGTGAGTATCAGTCACATGGAGGCAGTGCTTAAAAGCCTGAATTTTGCCTGAAACTCTCAGACTGAAGAAGTCTCTTGGAGGAGAGACGAAACGTTTCATTAGAGAAGAACCCGTCCAGAAGACCTATACAATTTTTTTCTTTTTGATTATTGCATGTACTTCTATAATTATAGTAATAATAACTTTATATATAAAGCGCTTTCAAATAAAGTGCTGAACAATTACAGTAAATGGTAAATGTTTTGATGTAGCGTCTTTCTATCCCACCATGATACTCAAAGCACTTTGCACTACAATCTGAGCTCTTACCCATTCACACAGCACTCTACTATAGATCTCTACAAAACTAATACATGTAAATCAATTTATAGAGAGAAATCAGTGCTTTAAATCACATTCATACACTGATGGGATACACATCAGAGGGTGTGGGGGTTCATTATCTTGCCCAGGGACACTTCAACATGTGACTGAATAAGAGGGACTCAAACCGCCAACTCTCGGATTAGAAGAATGACTACCCTAACTACTCAGCCACAGCCGCCTGTTACAAAGAGATTAAAACCAAAATTAAAAAAAAAACATACAAATAAAACCAGATAAAACACCAAGAGAGACAATAAAACTATGCATGAAAGATTAAGCCACATAAGACAGCGTAAACAAGTGGGTCTTAATCACAGCTTTAAGCCTCCACAGAACATGCCTGCCTGATGTCTTGAGGGAGATTGATCCACAATGATGGGGCACAGAAGGAAAAAGCACACCCTCTGACAGTTTTCTTCTGGCTTTAGGATTTTTAAAAAGACCAGTGCCCTGAGATCAGAGAGCACGAGGTGGAACATACAATGGTAAATGGACTTAACTTACAGTATACGACACTTTATTAAACCCCAAGGGAGCCCAAAGCGCTTTACACAACACACATTCATCCATTCACACACTGATGATGGTAAGCTACAGCCACAGCTGCCTTGCAGGGCTGCCGTGCATTGGCAACCACCAGACCCTCTGACCACCATCAGTAGGCAAGGCGGGTGAAGTGTCTTGCCCAAGGACACCACGACTGAAACAGCAGGAATGGGGTATCGAACYGGCAACCCTCTGGTTACAGGACAACTCCCCTAACCACACTGCCACAGCTGCAAATCAGAAAGATGCAGAAGATCAGAAAGGTGRGGAGGCGCTAGACCATTTAGAGCAGGGGTGGGCAATCCCGGTCCTCGAGGGCCACTGTCATGCATGTTTTACTTGTTCCTCTGATTCAACCCATCTGATTCAGTGATTTAATTCCCTTCTCAAGTTTTGCCTAAGTTTGGTAATCACCCATTCATTCAAGTCAGTTGTATTGGAGCAGAGACACCTCTAAAACATGTAGGATAGTGGCCCTCAAGGACCAGGACTGCCTACTTCTGATTTTAGAGTCTTGTAAGTGAGCAGCAAGACCTTAAAATCGGTTTGAACCTGACAAAGCAAGCAGTGAAGAAATGACAACACAGGAATAATATGCTCATATTTTCTGGTTTTGGTTAGAATGTGAGCAGACACATTTTGAACAATCTGCAGACCTCTAAAACTTTTCCTTGGTAACCCAGAGAGAAGAGCATTGCAGTAGTCCATGAAGACACAAATGCATGGATAAGGACTTCTGCATTTTCAAATGATTAAAGTTGTCTAATTTTTGCGATGTTCCTAAAATGATAAAAGGCAGCCCATGCTACCTCCTTTAAGTGAGACTCAAAAGAGAGCACGGGGTCAAACAACATTTGATGACATAATCATCAATTTTCAAAGGAAATTTTTGGGACAAGTAGTAGATGACCATTAAATCTGTCTTATCAACATGAAGAAGCAGGAAATTATTTAATAACCAACCTCTAAATGTAGGCAGACAGACCTCTAGTTTAGACAATGCAGCACAGTGTCCAAACGTGAAAGGYACAGATGCTGATCATCAGCGCAACAATGGGAGGCTACGTTAAAGGAACGCAAAAGATGACTAAGAGGCAGAAGATAGAGAGAAAATAGCAAGGGACCAAGCACAGGTCCTTCAGGGACCCCATTCTTCACAGCACATGTAAGTACAATTTAAAAACTAACATTTTGAGATGCTCCCAGAATACCTTTTGGAGAAAACCTGACGCAAGATTGTTGCTAAAGCCAGCTTACATTTTAAAACAGTGCYATCAATAAAATAAATAAATAAATAAAAAAGCAAAACAGCTGTACTTAAATTATGAAGCTGATGACTTGTAACTTCCTGTCCAGGAAGCTTTCTCAGTTCATATCTCACAAATGCATTTCCCTCATAAATCTGGCATTATAGCATMATTTAAAAGGGAAATTAATAGGCTTTCCAACAGTATAAGATTAATTTAGCTCACTCATTTTGCTCATCTTTTACTAAAGTGTTAGCCGTGTCAGCAGCATTAGCATTTGGCTTTGTCTCAGGATGGTGATGTCATAATAAGAACAGCACAACAACAAAAGTTGTGTTCCATTCAAAATATTTTTTGTCTATATTCTGTTTTCTTGTTAAATGGGTGTTCTGAACTGTAATTTCATTCTGTTTTGTACAATGAAAATAAATGTTACTCAATTCAATTTAAACATAAGTTTCAATATTAAGCTGCAATATTTAAGAGTTAACTTTTACATTTAGATTCAGAATTTTGTATTTAGATATCACTGTACAGGGTGTACTCCGCCCCTCACACTGTGACAGTGTGAGGGGCGCCAGTGACCCCTGTGACCCTGAAAGGCAGAAGCAGATACAGATAATGGATATTTAGACATAACATTTAACATTCAGTAAATATTAGTCAAATACAAGAACAGTGAGCTAAATAACAATAAAATGTTATGAACTTTACACTCAGAAAGTGAGCTAAATAATGAAAATGTGTTAGTGAGACTTTTTTATTTTATTTTATTTTACACATGGCACCCATAGGTCTCAGCCTAAAACTGTTACATGAAAGGATGTGGGTGAAATGCATTGTTTAAAGGCATGTTAGGTCTCAAACTGATGAGCCAATTTGTTTACTCTCCCTTACTTTCCCAGCAGACTCAGTAGGTAGTTGGGAGTACTGGAGTCCAGACGAAGAGGAGGCACAGTGACATGGGCGGCAGCATGACACCAGTCCTGATGATAGTACTGCATGCCATTCAGGACAGCGTGTGCCGTGGTTGTTTCTCCATGAACAACCTTACCTGTGACCAGAAAGTTTGGAAACACTTCAAATCAAATAATAACAAAAATTAAGATGATCGGTGTGTAAACTGCTTGACTCGCTGATAGCACTGAGGAATACTGGCCACACCTTGCATCTTGGCTGAAGCCACTACATCTCCTGCAGACATGCTGGACACATTGACGAGATAAATCGGGCAGTGAGCCTAAAAGAAAAAAAACATTAAATGTAGAAAACCATTTTTAAATTACATTTTTTAACAAAAAAGATTAAGGCACAGTGTAGCATGCATTTATTTGTATTCAGCCCTTTTACTCTGATAACCGTAACTAAAAGCCAGAAATCACCTAATGCCTCGTTCACATGGCAATATTTTAAAATTGTCATTTGATTTTCAAAAACTGAGAGGCTCCACACACGACATAAAATCACAGACATAACAGGTTTGGTCCTACAGTGTGTGTTGTACAGCCACRTGGCAAAATAACACTCCACACACAAACAGATTTCACTCACAAACGTTCTGATGTCAGACGGGAAATCTCGCAAAACACCTCGATAAAATGTGAGTTTAGAGAAAATAAACATGGCAGATGAGAAAGAAGCAATGGTGATAGTTTGTGGACTACCCTTAACAGAGAAAGATTTATACAAAAAGACGACTCCAACGAGTTTCACCATGGCAGTTGTTTTGTCCTCTGTAGATTCCTTTCAGTGTTTCCGTCATCTCGCTTTCTGGCTGGCTATACTTCAACATATTCAAAAGGCTTGTTTGTCTTTGGGGAACACCACACACTGGGATATCATTCCAAGACAATTCAACATGTTGAGTATCCCCAATTTGAGATCAGAGCAGTACCGACATCCTTCCAAGCCGACTRGATCACTCTTAACACACCACATACGGCAGGAATATCTCCTAAGATAATCTTTAGAGCCATCACAGTTATCAGAGCATCCTTAAGATCGTTGCAAGGGCAAAACTGGACAAGAAATCGGCACAATTATCTTGCCGAGTGAACCAGGCTTAATTAGTAAAGTGAGTCTACCTATGTGTAGTTAAATCTTATAAATAAAGCTGATATGTGGGGTTTGTTACAGAACACTAGTGGTCAAACAGCATCATGAATATCAGGAAACACACCAGACAGGTCAGGGATAAAGTTGTTACGAAGCTGTAGCTATTCTGCAAAAAAGAATGGGCAAATATTTGTCGTCACTAAATGAACAAAGCTGCTAGAAACTTTCAGTGAATGGTGATTCTACAAAGTATTGAGTCTGAGGGGCTAATGTCCAAGTCATATTTTAATTTTCTTAACAAATCTATTGCTGACCTGTCAGGAGTGTTCCTTGGTCTCCATGATGGATTTATACCGCATTATACTGAGGTTACATTAAACACAGATGGACTGATTTATAATTAGGTGACTTTGGAAGGCAGTTATTTGTTCTGGATTATAGTTAAGAATATTAGAGTAAAAAGGGGATGAATACATGTCTGTGTCATAAKTTGTAGATTTCAGTTGGTGAAAAAATGTTGAAAACCAAGTATCCTTTTTTTCCACTTCGCAATTGTGCACTACTTTGTGTTGCCTACCTCAGGAAATACTCTGAAATTTGTGCAAACAACACCACAAAATGTGGGGAAAAAAATCAGTTGGTGTGAATACATTTTCAAAGCAAACTATAAATGCAATGCTCGTATCTCTGTGAAACTGTAAGAGGATAAAAGCATGATAATTTTGTTTTCAAAGCATGATAATGCCATCGTATTATCAAGCTCACAATGACAATGATAACCAAATGATTAGCAGGAAATGTAAGTTTGTAGAGGATATTTTTGAATGTGACATTTTGTCTCTCAAACATTGATGTCACTCACCCTGTTGGCAATTATAATTGCTCTGTGTGTTGCCTCCGCTTCCAGCTGCAAAGAAACAAAGAAAAATTAGCAGTTTATTACATTGGGTTTATTTATTTACAGGGGTAAAAGGGAAAACTACTGAATAAAACGGAAGAAATAAAGATTTTGTTGATTTGATTTGGAAAGATTGGATAATTTGGAGTATATACCTCTTCAGGACGACTGATTTCAATTCCCTCTGGACCACTGATGCCCAGCTCTAATACTTCCTTCGCACCCTGTTAAAAGTTACAAATTTTCATTTAGTAAATTCTAATCATTATTACTAACAGTCTTACACAACACATACTATAATAACAGATCACACAATATTTTGCATAAAACTTGTATGCAAGTAGGTGTGTGCTAATATGTTATTGTAAGAGATTGTGCATAACGTCACTGAGATGTTACATTAACCCTTTGGCATAAAAGCAACAGGGCACTTTATTCAGGTAAAAATGCATTTGTTAACTAATTCAAGTCAATTAAATAAATGGAAATAATAATAAAAAAAACAGGGAAATCGTATAATTTAGCAGCATAATATACTTTTGTGTCCTGCTGCAAACGAATGCTCCCTCACCTCGGCCACCAGCTCCCCATTCTCAGCATGGACCCTCGCCACGGCTCCGATGTCCTTACAGTGCTGCAGGGCTTGGAAGAGCTCGCTGTCTCTCAGCATGAACGTGTCCTTATATGCCATGAACATCTGGAAGGAATTCACACCTTTTTCCCGTACAAGCTTTTCCATCTCAGCTTGTACCTGTGAGAGAGAAAGTAGAAGAGTTCTGAAAAACTGTATCTTGAGTTATAGAGAATAACAGGAATAAGTCCTGACCACGTGACCATGGGATCTACTGCAGCAGCGGTGGCACCAACCAGACCGGGCAAGCATCTAAATTTAGCATTACTGTACATGTAAGCAAAATAGTGAACAATAAGGGCTGATTATGTAAAAAAAAACCATTACTGATAATAATAAAAAAAATTTATTAGTGTATTTATGCTAGCTAATGTTTAAATAAATGCCAGAAAGCTGTGTGTGTTATGGATACACCATCAGAAGAGAAACAGGTAAACATATCTCATTTCACAAGTAAACAGATTTGAGCTTATTTACCTCAAAGTTGATGTGATCTGATATAAACCTCAGCTAATAATGTAACAGTTTAACATTAAAAAAAGTTTATAAAGCCGATGCAATCACTGTTAATTATTTAACTGGTTAGCCGGAATAAGCTTTGTACCATGTTATACAGTGTATCACTCAAATTATTAACTTGCTAAGCTGGTTTTGTCTCTGTTTTATGTAATATGTACACAGTGTATTTTTAATTTTCTATAAAACAAGCCTGAACTATTGAGAAGATGGTTACCTAATATCAGAAGAAAGTTTCATCCTGAAGTATCACTGGGTATTTAGTGAACATTTGTAAAGTGTTGATATATTTATTATGACATATTTATTATTATTTATGACAGGTTAGAAACAATAAATATATTTTATTAGTTGAAGTTATAATTATTCAACTAGCTAAAAAAAGTTGACTGATTTCAGCTGTCGCCCTCTTTGGTTGCCATTTTTGCTCCTCCATGTTGTCACAGATGCTAACAGTGGACGTGATAGGTGGAGCTCACTCTAGTGTTATTTAACTCTATGTATCTCACTGAGCTGCAACCATTAGGCTGGTTGTAGACTGAAATTTGCTAAAAGCAGCAAAACTATAGAAGTAGTAAAAGAAACTAAAATCTAAAAGGAGCAAAAGTCCAAGAGATAAATGTAGCAATTGGCTAGCTAAAAAAAATAGCAAAATATCAAGAAGCTAAAAGTAACAAAAGGTCATAATGAAGCAGATTTTAAAAGGAACAATGGTTTTGAAGGAATTCAAGAAATTTAATCATTGTTCTATATGGTGAAAACACCTGTAAAAAAGCTAATTGGTTAAAAAGAAAAAAGAAAAGTAATAAAATAACAAAAGCCAAAGCACCCATCTTCTGAATTAGCTGAATATTTTGATATATTAATGGATATAATAACACGCAGAAATAATTAGGCTGCAAACACTTACAGAAAAAAAAAAATCTAGACAACAATAGTGAATGCACAACATTAACACAATGAGATGGATATAGGGGTACTAGAAAAGGGAAATGTTGTGTTTGGGTACCTTGGGTCCCCACCATGTAACTCCCACGTGCAGAGCATAGTCACAGCAGGATTTAGAGTCTGCTGAGCTGCGACACTTCTCGTAGGCTTCCAGCAAAGACTCATTTCTCTCTGGCAGAACATGTCCGATCACCATTGTTGTGCCTCCAGCTAAAGCAGCCTGGAAAAAATAATAAAAAACAGTTCCCAACATTTGTTTTATTATCTGTGGCATTAAAGTAGACTAATTTATTTTTATTATTTGTCTGCTGCTTGGTAAAGATGAAGGTAGGAACTAATGTTTTTATATGTATAAATGGGTTTATCTGTATTTTCGCAAAACAATTGTGAACTTGCTAAGAAATTCTCTGAAAGTAATTACTGCACTTCTACAAATGATTAACTTTTTGAGTCAATCCAATTCAAGGTGGCTGCCACAGGTTGTTGATCTTAGCCTGCAAAAAATGGTTATAAATAAGGCCAGTTTTACAGATCATGAAGTAAACTGGTGTGATAGTAGCAGAGAGTCATTCACAACACATGTGGATGGGCCAGCAGTACAGTGACTGGAACAGCCTTTACCTTGGTCTCGGGACCTGATGCCTATATGTTGGGTCCTGGGCAACCAGAGGGTTTAGTTCCTTGGGGCTTGGTGATGGTGAGGGCTTCTGCCTCTGCTGTTGCTCAGTCTACAGGGAGCACCCAGTGCGACTGTAACCCCTTGACTACATCCCATTGGGGAGCGGTCTGGGCCTCTCAAATGCTGGGGTCTCCAGGTGATGAGGACACTGACATGTTGTTGGTATCCTCTGATGAAGAAAAGGGTCAATCTTTGTGGTTTTAGGGATGACAGATTTTATACAGAGCAACTTGCATCATTGTAAAGATACAAGTACATTGCTGTGCACTTGCTTCAGCAGGATACCTACAGGCATAGCCTTTATCCAGGAACCTTGGGTAGTTAAATCTATGGTATGAGGCCTGGGATTCCCTGGAGGCACACTTTAATATGATGTGAGCAGCCACAGACTCAGAGCAGCAGTAGCCCTGACAAGAGGTGTGAGATACACTGCACTGCCCTCCTAACAAAAGGTGATGCTGAAGCAGTGCAGTAGGACATTCAGTCAAATGGTGACTCCAGACCGATCATTGCAGCCTCTGTTTATCTGCCATTTGATTCACAACAGCCACCTCCATCACAGGAGTTTATGGCAATAGTCAGTTATGCTAAAGATAAGGGCCTCTCGATACTCATTGATTGTGATGCCAATTCCCATAATGTGTGCTGGGGGAGCTCTGAATTTAACCCTAGAGGCAGATCTTTATTAGAATACTTGCTGAAAGAAGACATGCTTGTCCTTAATCAGGGCAATGTACCTACCTTCCAAACTGTTAATAGAGAGGAGGTACTGTAATTAATACAACAGTCCGGTTTATGAACTTGGTAAACAAAATAAATGACTGGGAGGTGTCCCCAGATGTCAGACCACCGACAAATTCAGTTTAAGCTAAAGATGGGGAAACCATATTTAGTCAATTACARAAACCCCAAAATACTGACTGGAATCTGTTTATCAGCAGTTTATCCCAGTTGATGGGTGGGGGAATTGCCAGGATCAAAACTGTGCAAGACATTGAGACAGAGGTCACAAGCATGGCTGATGCTGTGCAAACTGTCTATAAGTCTGCCTGTCTGGAGAAAGTCTGGAGGTCGTCAAAGCAGCTGGCCTGGTGTACTCCAGAGCKTTATGGCCTCTGCAAGGCAGTAAGATGTAAATGGCAAAGATACAGATCCCAACCAAGCAAAACCAGGTGGGAACAGTATGTACAGTCAAAATGTGGCAAGCCAACATATAAGGAAGCAAAATCTTTCAGACCCATCTGCTCAACATCCTTCTTGCTGAAGAGAATGGAGAGGTTGATAGATTGACATGTAGGGGATGATATTTTAATGCTATCAACTTTAAGTTCTAAACAGCAAACATATCAGGTAGGTCTTTCTGCAGAATCAGCCTTACATGATGTTTTGCGAATAGAATGCAGCCTGGCTTGTGGACAATATGCACTTGGCTTCTTCTTGGACATACAGGAAGCATTTGATAATGTACCTGTAGAAGCTATAGAAAGAGCACTTGCCAGCAAAGGTGTGGATGAGACAACCACAAAATGGCTCGTTTTCATGCTTTGGACAAGGAAAGCACCTTCAACTCTGAGAGACTGTTCAATAACTTTTAACCTTCTACGAGGTTGTCCATAGGGAGGCATAGTCTCACCCCTGTATTGGCTCCTGGTTGTCGACAGCCTACTAAGTGATTTGAATAGATCTAGACTTCACACACAAGGGTATGCAGATGACTTGGTCATACTTATACTGTAGAAGGCTTCTGCCTGGGTACTGTATGCAATTGGGTACTGTATTATTTGATTTCCTTTAGAGATCAATAAACTAGAATTGAATTGAATTGAATTGAACCTAATGCAGAGGAGACCAAATATAGTATCCAGATGGTGCAGAAAGCAGGACCTTTCTGTCAATCCAAACAAGACAGAATTGGTTCTTTTCACACATAAGAAGTCAAGGAAGGGTTACTCACCCTCAAAGTTGGAGGGTGTAGAACTCTTCCTATCAGAGTTGGTTAAAATTTTGGGGTGTCTATCTAGACTAGAAGCTTAACTGGAAAAACGTAAATGAAAAGTGAAAGAAGGCAGCAATGTGCCTACACCTGTGCCGTAGAATTGCAGGTAATCGTTAAGATGCTACCCCAAAGATTATCAGATGGAGCTTTACAGCCATAGTCTGCTTCATTCTATGCTATACTGTTTTAGTATGGTGGATTTGAGTCCAAGTTGGGGTGGCAACAGTAATGCTCACCCATGTGGAATGAATGGCCTGCAAGAGATTTACAGGTTCCATCATAACAACACCCATGGCAGCCATGGAAAATGGAAAATTCATAATCAGATTCATATCTCATTAATCAGATTAGCTGGTGAGGGTGGGCGCGCCCTGCGCGTGTATCCAAAGCTTGACTTTTGCTGTCGTGCTGTTGAAATGTCTCTTGTCGGGGAGGGGTCTGTGTGGGTCAGGGTCATCTGAGGAGGAAGGAGATGAATGGAGTTTTGTGCTGGAACTTTTATTTAAGATTTAAGATTTTTTTTATTTCAAAGGTCCTCGTGGCTCAGCAGCAGAAGCATAAATACTACTGTTATGAAAGCTAAATAAATAAATAATCTAAGTTTGATTATGAAGAGAAATTAAATATCTGACAGTGATCATTACACAGTGTTGCTATAATTCCTCACTTCACCATCTGTGTCGCAGTTTCCCGTCTCAAAATGAGCATAATCATGGGTCAAAGCTGGCATGAGGGACCGCACATTTTCAAGTCAAGTTTGGATTTTATAAATCACAACCTTGGCGTGAAAAGTAGCCTGGCCCTTGCCTTCCTATGCAGCTCTGCTCAATTCTAGTTTCTCTTCACTGCTCCGTCTGGGACTTCTCCCATTGAGATGGATTTCGCTGGCAGATTTTTAGCCGGACCAATCAGAGAACAGAACKTCAATTTTCTGCGCAGTGTCTGCTTGTAGTTTATTTTACCTGGGCCAATCAGCAAACAGAAGGCGGAGTTTTGAATGACGTCGATGTTCTGTGCAGTGTCTACTAGTTATTTTAGCATACGGCAGTGGAGGAAGAGAATGAAGCCAGTCCATGTTGATAAGGCTTCAAATTAAATTAAATTTGTCTGACAAAGCAGCAGCACTTATTTAGAGTTGTCTCATTCGGCTCGGTATGTTTCTCCTCTCAGTAGAGTTGTTTACAGCACACGCGGTTTCCGGTTAGCTTCTTAGCTTAGCCTCCTTCACAGCGACATACGTCGCAGCCAACTGATCCAATCACTTTAAAATTCAGCAGAAGCCACGCCTCCTGCAAGAAACGCTTCTCTATTCAGCAAGTCCAGACCCTTGTACGAAGCAAAGTGAAGGACAGGGTCTGGTTTTAACCAGGCTACGTGAAAAGTGGTGTGCGCATCTGGGCTCATATTGTGCATACGCAAGCTTTATATATCCGACCCCAGATATGTACTAGGTAAATACCAAGTGCATAACGGTTGAATAACAGTTAAACAGTATAATTTGTAAAATGGTAAATGGACTGTACCTATATAGCACCATTCTGTCCAACCAGGACACTCAAAGTGCTTTACATTACAATGTGCTCTCATTTACCCATCAACACAGCACTCTAGATCTATCTGCAATATTAATCTTTATAAATCGTCCTATAGAAATGAGTCAGTGCGTTAAATCACACTCATACACTGATGGGGCACATCAGAGGCAGTGGGGGTTCAGTGTCTTGCCCAGGGACACTTCGACCGCCAGCTCTCACATTGGAGCCACAGCTGCCCCAAATGTGGTTCACATTATAATTTACAACATTTCTTTAAATTGTTTCATAATTAGACTTGAATATTTTTACATATGAGATATGTTCAGGTTTTCTCATACTTCCTAAGCCCTAATCTGTAATCAGTTGTTTGGGAACAGAAGAAAATGTTCTCAGTCGGGTACACAATAACAATTTTCCATCTGCAGTAATGTCCGCTGGTACATCCAATGTGGCGAATCCAATCAGACAAATAGTGTGGGCAATCCCGCCGAGCTGAGCTATCAGCTTCTCCAAGATCAATTCCGTCTCACCAGCAAAGTCCAGGGACCACAGCCGGACCGCGATCCTCAGCAGAACCGCTTGCAGACCAAATCCCAGCTCACACATGGCGTGAGTCAGAGTGCTGAAAGCATGGCGATCCTTCATATTCTTTAGGCAACCAGGAAATGGCCTGAATACCCACCAACGCTGTTTTGTAGAACACCAGGAGACCACCAAGCCAATCTGTAGAAATCCAGTGATAAGAATCCAAATATTTTTCTAGAACAGAGCAGAACAGAGGTCCCACCTTTGACATGTCCTCCCATGGAAGAAAACTTTGTTCCAAAAATTTATTTAGAGACCAGCTAACCAAATCCATTAAAATAAAAATATCCATAATTTCTGGTTTTGGATGAAAATGTAGAGAAGGCTCCAAGCAGCAAAGCAGGGAAGATAAAGGAGGGCAAGAGAAAGGGAAAAAGCATCTTACTCCTCCGAGAGCAGGAACAAAAAATAAATACAATAAAAAAATTAAGATGGCAGCTACTCAGCACAACTCAACAGTGAGTAAAACGTACTTTTACTTTTAATAGCATTTCTGTATTATTTATTTCACATTTAGTCAGTTGTACATGTAGTAATTTTCAGACAAGGAATGTGACGCTTTGTGTTTAGTCCAAGTTAAACACGAAACAGTGTGGCCCTTGATGAAAATGAGTTTGACACCCCTGCTTTAGATCATTATCTGTAAAATTAACTAATATCCAATTCTGAGTTTCTAAAGGTCACTTAGCTTTGGCAGCCATCTTGAATCCAACTTATTCTAAAAGTTGTAGACGTACATCCCATCGATTACTTTCTGAGAGTCTTTATCATCTGTTCAATAAATACTATGCTGACTACTATACAAACAAACATACACAGGCAAATCGTTTTAAAGACAGAGTGTGTTTTGTGTATAAGTGCATGCTTCATCAAGCATGTGCCAGCTGACCCTGGAGGCAGCTGAGTGTGAAGGAGGATGGGTGGGAGAGGGTTGCGGCTCCGAAGACCATTGTTTCACACCACAATGGTGGAAGAGAAAAGGCTTTGCTGTAGTCTTTGCAGCAGCCTCTCAGTATCCATGGAAATGCAGTTATCTACATTTCTCACTGGGATTCTTCTGATGGCAGCAGAGTAAGCAGGGAGGAGCCTGAAAAAAGTGGGTGAGTGATGGAGCAGCTGAGAATATAACCCTCGGCTGAGGGTCAATTTGGTCAGCATCTATCAACTTTCAGCTCAAACCATTGTAAAGCAATTTTCCAGATCTTTTAAAGTGAGGTTCAGTTCTGAGTAAAAAATATAAACAATTATTATATTTAAGAGTGTGTAATGCAAGACATTTAACTCCAAAAAATCATCCATAAAGTTGGGCAGCTGTACTATACATGGGAAGAAACTTTTACCAATTATTTTCTAATGCACCGCAATAAGTTTATTTGTTTCATATATAACTGGAATATTGGGCCTCATGCAAGAACCGTTCGTACGCACAGATTTGTTCTTAAATTGTGCGTACGAGTGATTTAGGAGAATTTGTGGCATTCACCAATGTTTTCGTATTCTAAGATTTTTTTCAGATACGAACAAAATTCACGTGTGGTCCAGACCTGTCGTATATTTTACSAGCAGTCAGTCTGCTGTTCTCCAGACGGGTTTTCTTCATTAATAACTTTATATTTCATTAGTTTGAAGATATTTTGAGTTGAAAATAAATCACACTCCATAATTATGTTGACAATGGGCTATTCTGCTTGAATTAGAGTTATAATTTTAAATGTAATAATTTAGACTAACGATATAAATTGTCCGGCCGGCCGGCTTATCCGCTGTCGGGTGCGGGGCCAGCAGCAGAGAGACCCCGCTCTCCCCAGAGACACCTTCCAGCTCGTCCTGGGGGACTCCGAGACGTTCCCAGACCAGAGGGGATRCACAACCCCTCCAGCGAGTCCTGGGTTTTCTCCAAAGTGCCAGACTTATTTTGAAAACATTTTAAAAGGCTTATTTCAAACCCACATCTGAGACTACCTGCGAACGCGCTGCGCGCGGGATGGGGGGTTACGGTGCGCAGCGCCGTGGCTTCTGAATAAATGAAAATGATTTAACACAGTTGTTTATACTTTTAGCAGCTCCTTTTATTCCACAGCTGACCTGCTAAAAATGACAGATTTTCTTTTCTGGATCTCTGACAGACGGACTTCAATCTCTGAACTCGTAAAGTTCTTTTTTTTAATTTTCGCTGTCATTTTCATGAATGGACACTTCCTGATATCTGAGGCAGGAAACATAGCCTTATATGGTGTTTTTGGGGTGGTAATTATGCTAATCTCCTCTCGCGTGCACGAGCAGCTGGATACGAACAGGTGGAATTTACGCAGCTCATTTACACACTTTTCCTGAAGATAGAAGAGTTTGTTGAATCTGACGTGACATGTTCGTACGAACCCTTTGTACGAACAAAATTAAGAGAAAKTTAGGATAAGAATACAAACATGTTCTTGCATGAGGCCCATTGTGTTACATGGGATAAATCATAATCATTTCTCGCTCCTTCCACTGTATGTCACACATAAAGCATATAAACAAGAGCGTTTTTTTTACATCCGAGTCAGAGGAGGAAAAGACTCGTTTTGCTTTCTTGTTAACAGCGGCGAAAAAAAAACTCACACTGCTCTTCCACAGCAGCTTTTCGGGTACACCGCAAAGGTTGGAAAATCTTGCGGTACGAAATTAGACGTAGCATTATACACAAGGATTCAGATTTTTTTTTAAATTTCAAGCTCAAAAAATTAGTGTTGCATCATTCACAAAGTGCATTATATGAATAAATACGATAATATTACCTCTTTGAATGGCTCCAGTTTGTAGATAAATCAAGTTGATTTACTGCATTTAAATATACAGATACTGAGCCAACATTTGGTGCATTGGTAGCTGCGACATATCTGAAAAAATCTTTCAATATTAAAAGAATTCACATATAATGTCAGTTACAAGGTTTGATCGAAACGACTCTACCTCCGCCCACTCTCATCATAAGATGATTTTAGTTTCTTCCTCTAACATGAAAGATAGTGGGTGATAGACATCTCATCGAGAAACACTCAGGCTTTAATTTACTTTATCTAATCACTGAATATAATCTTTTAGCTTCTTAAGAAGCAAGAATGATTCTGCCAAAATAACCACCACACAATATTTGATCCCAAAATACTTTTTGTGATCAAAACCAGTAAGACAATTCAATAAYATTTTTTGTAAAATTGAAGGAAATTTTGTAACTGATTAATTGAATGTTAGATGCAGTTTTGTATTTTATACTTTCATTTCAGCCTGTAAATTTAAAGCAGACTAAGAGTTGGTGTGTGTCTTATCATGTGTTCTTTCTTTAGTCTAACAAAATGAGTTACGTTCTGACATTTGACGTAAAAGCTAACACCTCCAGGGATGTAACCAGGAAGAGATGTACAATATAAAGGTTAATTCTTTACAATAGTAGAGAGAAGTTGTCAGTGTTGCAGAGTCTGCTCAGAGCAGAGCTCATGTGTTTTGTTTTGGTTCAGTCCAAGGTCTTACACTGAGGCCTGTGTGCTGTACTGTGAACCTGATTGGAGTCAGAAGATTGAAAAAAAGGTTTTAAAGAAGAAATCCAGCAGATTCCTGTTTATTCAGACATACCATTTTGAACAACACATATTTTTCCAACAAAATGACAACATTGTGTGTTTGCGTTTTTATCTATTGGGGAAAAAATTTGTTTTATCTGTATTATCAAAAATTAAAGGGGTGTTTAGAAAAATTTATGTAAATCCAGACAAACTGAATTTATTTATTTATTATGCTAAATGGTGCTAAATATCTTAATCGAATCAAGGCTTTTGTTTTTTCAGAGTGATAACATCAGATTATTTAGTCTTTTAATTCTTTAGGTTTCCAGCAAGATATTACCTTAGTGCCACTGTAGTAATCATCTGCTGTCACAGCATTCATGAAGGTCTCCTCCAGGTGGACGCTGGTGTCGATGCCCCCAGGAAGCACCAGTTTCCCTGAGGCGTCGATCACCTTGGCCCCTCCTGGGATCATCAGCTCCTTCCCGACCTGCTGGATTATTCCGTTCTCAATGTAAACGTCTGCCTCCTGAGTGCAGTCATCGTTCACTACTTTCCCGCCCTTGATCAGGATCCGCAACATTGCTGAACTGGAAGACATGGCTACTGCTCTGTAACAAGAAGAGATGTGCAGCTCTGTTAAAACCATATAACAGTTTTTTGTTTGTTTGTTTGTTTGTTTGTTTGTTTTTGGGGGGGATCTTTAGTTGGGAACACAGGAAGTAAACGCACTTTAAAATTGTAGACTTTGGCTGTGTCCAAAACGACAGGCCGGGTCCTCCGGAGGACCCAGACTCCCCTGTCGCGGTGGGCCGGGTCCTTGGTAGACCAGGAAGACCGGAAAAAAAGAGGCTGTGAATTTGGACGGTCTAGCCTCCCCTCCTTACCCTGGAGTACGTCTTGTCACCTAGCAACTGTGACGACGCTAAACAAGCAAACTTAAATCAAAACTAGAAAAA